CAGGCCCTTAGCCCCAACTACTTTATGAAGTCCCTGACAGCTTTTGGTTTTATTTCGGGAGTAGGAAATCATCCCAGTAATGCTCTCACTTCTTGATTTGGGACTTGGAATCAGTGAAGACTGGATGACTCTGGGCTCCTGGGTAAAGTTCACTTCAGCCCCTTTGGGCTTCAGTCTCTTCCATCCTTGAAAGGATCTATATTAGTGAAGGACATGGCATTACCTCCTACAGGTGGGGACTGAAATCAGGCTTGGATCCTCTGCCCCAGGGAAGCAAATTAGTATTTTTGACCCAGCTTCAAGCTGTCTTCCTTGCCACCATCCCACCATCTAAATTCTACCAGAATCCCACCATCCAAAATGGGCTGATGGTATCATTCCAGAGTTTGGAAAATTCACTTGAAAGTTCCCAGTAAGGCAGCCTTTACATTTGAGATGTTGTTACTTGTTATCTATGTAACCTCTTCCCCCCCAGTGGAGTCACATCCTACCCTGGGCCTCACTTTTATTTTATGTAAAATGAGGGGGTTCTTAATCTTGTTTTGTGCCATGAACCCTTCTGCAGAATAAGGTTACCAATTATACTGAAGTACTTATCCAAATATCAAAAGTTCCAAATTCAGCGACGCCTTGCAATCTAGCCACACACCTCAGGTTAAGGATCTCTGGCCAAGATGATCCCCAAGGGCCCTTTGACCAATTCCACTGGAATCACATGGTTCCCTCCCCACACCCACCAAGAATTCTATTCATAAGTGACCTTATATTAGTGGCTTTCCATTAAAGGGTATGGGGTTACCGACTTCCATTAGATTGGGAACTCCTCAAGGGCCCCAACCGTCTTTTGCCTCTTTTCACATTCCCCAGCACTTAGCACAGTGCCTGGCACATAGTAGGCACTTAATAAATGTTTATCAACTAACTAACTGAATTCCCAGAGAGACTTTATTGGATAAATTAAAGCTGAATAAGGCAGAACATTTTTTGTTGTTAGAAACCAAGAGCATTTTGTTTAATTTAATTTAATACATTACTCCAATAAAGAAGGCCCAAAAATACCTAGGAAGGAATGCTCATAAACATAAACGTCTTGCTGTAGTCCCATTATCTCCTCCACCACCTAATGCTCCTTGGAGGCCATTTATGAGGGCCTGAGGCCACATAGGAAAGGCTGTTAAATCGGGCATCCCTCTATATCTTCTGTCTCCTCCACCAGCAAATGCTTCACGTCTTCTGCTAAAGAAGTATGGTAGTCCCCTGTGACGTCGAGTTGGTTGTGCTATGTTATCTCCTTCACTGCCTGGAACTCTTTGGACATCCTCAGGAGGGGCTGGGAAATACCTTGGACTGGCCACTGCAATGGCCCCAGCATCTCTTCTGCCATCAACACCACCATGCAGGGGATGCTGAAAATGTCCTCTTGGTTGGCTGTCGGGCCAGGGCACCTCAGGGCCATCTCCTCTGCCTGTCTGATGCTGTGCTGACACCATCTCGGAGGTTCTAAGGCTGTTTATGAAGGGTAGGAGGTAAGGGCAATGCTGCTGCCCTTTTACCCACTTCCCTGCCTGCAGTGCCTCTGAGGGGAGCCCACGGAAGGCAGTGAAAGGAGCTGTTTTGTGAGGGTCCACGGTGCCATGGCAACCTTATGTTGCCATACCAACATTCTATGACACAAACAGGCAGATTAGAGTTTTGAGGTCAGTTCATTCTTCCTACTCTGTCATTGGCTGTGTTGACAACTGAAGTAAGGCCCCTCCCCTTTTAGCTAGCCAACCCCTCCCCTTGCCCATTGACACCCCAACCCCTGTCATCCTAGTCTACTGGCCTGCATGTAAACTACATGCCCTCTACAGTTCACAGAATTACACTTTCAAATAGTGAGAATTCAAATGCATACAACCACTTCAAGGGATTCATTATTTGCACTAACCAGGACCTAGCTGTGTACTGTCCTATTCTGCCATCCCTATCCAGATCACTTCTATTCCTCCCCAGCCTGGCCTGTCCCACTTCTACCCCAATTCTACTTTCTACTTGATTTCCCTGGGCCTCAGTTTCCTCATCTGTAAAATGGAGGGGTTGAGCTTGACTTCTAAGGTCCATTCCAACTTTAAATCTATGATGTTATTAATAATAATATTTATATAATACCTGCTATGTGCCAGGGGCAGCTAGTGGTGCAGTAGATAGAGCACCCAGCCTGGAGTCAGGAGTTCAAACCTGAGTTCAAATCCAGCCTTGGACAGTTACTGGCTGTGTGACCCTAGCCAAATCACTTCACCTTGCTGGCCTCAGTTTCCTCATCTGTAAAATGAGCTGGAGAAGGAAGTGGCAAACCATCCCGTGTTTTTGCCAAGAATACCCCAAATGGGGTCACCAAGAGCTGGCACGATTGAAAAATGACTCAACAGCACCAACAGTCTGTTATTACTCTTCTTAATGTATCTGCCTGCTCTTCATCTCTACCTGTTGAAACTCTTCCCCTCCATGTTTATTAGGGTACTTTGTCTGGCTCTCCCTTTTCCTCCTCACACATTCCAGCTTGTATCTTACCCTCCAAGTAGACTGTAAGCTCCCTGTCATTTTCATCTTGGTGTGCCTCATGGTTACCAGGCTTCTGCATTTCATAAGAGTTGTTTAAATGTCTGAGGGACTGATTTTGGAAATACAAGAGTCTGGGGACACAAACAGAGTAACTAGGTGGCACAGAAGATAAGCCATTGGACTGAGTTCAGATCTGGCCTCAGATAGTAGCTGGCTTTGTGACCTTAAACAAGCCACTTCACCGCTGTCTGCCTCAGTTTCCTCATCTGTAAAATGAGGGTAATAATAGCACCTACCTCTCAGGATTGTTGCAAGGATAAAATGAGAGAATATTTGCAGGGCATTTTGCAAACCTTAAAGTGCTATATAAATACTAGACATTATTATTATCCTCATCCTCATCACCAGTGTAATGGAAATAGGTCTCAATTTAGATTCCAGTGAAACCAAGAAGGCCCCGGTTTCAAATCTTGGCTCTGCTGTTTACTAGCAACATGACTGTGGGAAAGACATTTCCCCCTTCCCCCAACTCGCTTTTCTCACCTGGCCTCCATGGAGGCCATTTAGGGGGGGGGGGGGCTGGGTAGTGTTAAATTAGATGATGTCTAAAATCCTTTCCAGCTCTGACCCTATGACTTGGGGCAGCGCCTATATTGGTCACCCTCAGCTTCCTCATTTACAGAAAGGTCCAAGGTTCCATTTCTCCTTCATTTGAGACTAAAGCTCTTTACAAATCTGTAGCTGAGCCCTGGCAAGAATTAAATGAAAAGATTGGATTACACAAAATCAATCCTTGCAGATCTAAAGCCTACACCCAGAAAACCTAGTAACCCACACACCTCTTCTTGATGAGCGACAATCAAGAATTTTGACTAGAAACCCTCTGATACCTGTAAACAGTGGCAGGGGAATCGGCAGGCTTGACAACCACTGAATACTGCCTGAGTGGGTAGAAAGTGCATTGTGAAGCAGAATTATCTCCTAAAGCAGATTCGGAGTGACTCAGTTTGGCAAACTTCTCTCACCAGAGTTAGCAATTTTCCCCAACGAGCTTGCTTTCTTCATTCATTCTTTTTAACAGCCATTGATTAAGCACCTACTGTGTGCCTGGCAACATGCCAAGCTCCAGGCAGATCCAAGCAGTCTTCAGACTCTTCCTTCAAGACCCAACTCAGGTGCCATCTCTTCTCTGTAGCCTTCCCTGTGCCCTCACCTGAAAGCCATCTCTCTTCCCCTCCATATTTATTAGGGTACTTTGTCTGGATCTCCTTTTTCCTCCTCACACATTCCAGCTTGTATCTTACCCTCAAGTGGACTGGAGTTTGGGCTCCAGTAGACCAGCTGCCAAAAGCAAGACTGGAGGAATGCCGAGTGCAAGGTTAAACCCAGTGGGGTGAGTGAAGGCCTAATATCCCCACTACTCTGTGTATGTATTTGCCTTTATGGAGCTCCCAGCTCTGTAGCGGGGTAAGACCTCAACACAAATGGCCATGATACAGTACGTTAGAAGGGGCCCATGCGTTATGTGAGCTCATTTATTCAGCAACTATTAAACACCTACTGTGTGCTAGGTTGTGGGACAAAGATAATTAAGACTCATTTTCTACCCTATTCTGGCCAAACCCAATCCAGGCCAGTCTAGTGGTTCAGGCTTAGGATTGGAACCACATGAGATTCCCATAAACCTACCAACACATAACCAAAAAGAAGTTTCTTAAATCAGTCATTCAACAAGTATTTAAGTACCTTCTATGTGCCAGGCACAATGGTGGGCAGCTGGGGATACAAGCAAAAGTGTTGTGGGGCTCAAAAAAGACAATGGATATAAAGCACTATAGAAATACCAGTAATTATTATTGTGATTGTATTAGCCTCTACCAAACCTCCAGTCTGGCAACTGGTGGAGCAGTAGACAGAGCACTGGACTTAGAGTCTAGAAGTCCTGAGTTCAAATCTAACTTCTGATGTTTACTAGGTGTGTGAACCCTGAGAAAGTCACCTAACCTCTTTACACCACAGTTTGCTCATCTGTAAAACAAGGACAATAACAGCACCTACTCCCCAGGGTTGTTGAGAGGATCAAATGAGATGATATTGGCACAGTGCCTGGCACATAGTAGGTGCTGTATAAATGCCTAGAATCTGTCTCCTAATTCATACTTGGCAGCTTTTTGATGATCATAGGGTCGTGGGATTTTGATTGAAGGGCTCTTAGAGATTATCTAGGCCAATACTCTCATTTTACAGGCGAAGAAACCGAGGCCATCAAGGTGAAGTGACTTGCCCAAAGTCACAGAGGTAAGAAGAAATAAATGAGGTTCTTTTTGATTCAGAGATTCTGTGAATCCACACTGTGGGTCCCAGTGGGGGGCCAATCCTTGTGAGCCCCTTGGTCCCTTGGGGGCCCCATCCTAAGCAACCATTTTCATTCCAACCACCATTTCCATTCTTTTTAGATCTTCCACCACCTACAACCCGGGAAAGACCACCAGGATGCAAAACAGTCTTTGTAGGAGGTCTTCCAGAGAATGGAACAGAGCAGATCATCATAGAAGTATTTGAGCAATGTGGGGAAATCATTGCTATCCGAAAAAGCAAGAAAAATTTCTGCCACATTCGGTTTTCTGAGGAGTTCATGGTGGACAAAGCTCTCTATCTCTCTGGTAGGTGTCTGCGGCCTAGTGATTGTGGTCACTGATCACAGAGTATGAGGGAACATAGTGGAGGGCATCCATGTGTCTGCTTCAGGGATGGTTTGTGAGAAGTTTTCCCACATCTTCTCCTCTAGGGATTCTTTTCAGCTTGTAGGCCTGGCCAGCCCCTTTCCCTGTGTTTGCATGTTCTCCATCCACCACTCACTAACCTAACCTTTGTTGACATCTGGGAGGTTCACATTAGAGGCAGCATGATATAGTAGAAACGACACTGGATTTGGAATCAGAAGAATCCAAGTTCAAATCCCAGCTGTGCCACTTGCTAGCTGTGTGACCTTGGGTGAGTCCATTTCCCTCCCTTGGCCTCAGTTTCTTCTCCTATAAAATGAGGGGGTTGGACTAGATCTAGGCCTCTGAGGTCCCTTCCAGCTTTAGGATCCTTCTTGAGGCCTCAGTTTCCTCCTAAGCCAAATGGGGTCAACAATACTTGTGCTACCTGCCTCATGGATTTGTATCAAGGAGAGCACTTTGTAAGTCACAAAATGTGAGAGAAATCAGTGCCACTGTTAGACTAAGGAAGCGCCTCAGGGAGGCCAGTTGTCCTCCTCTGGACACTGTCCAGCCTAAAATGGGGTCCCCATGACTAAATCTGGTGCTCCATGGGCAGAGTAGCTTCCCTAGCCCTTGACACACAACCCGAGGTCAGCAACTTTGGCCTGCCACCTCCCAGAGCTGCTCATGTGAAGCACACAATTCACCAAAGCCCCCAGATCTTTTGCACACAGCCTGCCTGGGCATTCCCACCATCCCACATTTGGGCATATTATTGTTGTCATTGTTGTTTTTAATTTTGCATTTATTCAGATTAAATATCATGATATAGGATTCATATGCAGGTGCCTGCAAGGGATCAGTGGTGACAGGCAGTGGCTCACTCATACCCCAGTTTTCACATAAGGAAACTGAAACTCAAAGGGGGTAAATAAATGACTTGCCTAAAGTCACCAAGCTTGTAAATGGCAGGGCTAGGATAGGAATCAGTGTTCTGACCCCAGGTCTGATGATCTTTCTAGCATATCCAGGTATAGGACCGTTATGCCTATTTTACAGATAAAGAAACTAAGACCCAGAGTGGCTAGATACCTGACTGATGCCTCATTGCTGATAAGGATCAGACATGGACTTCAACTCCATGTTTTTTCGAACTCTGGTTCCATTGCTGCTTCTGATACACCAGCTGCCTCTCTGCTCTGATCAGGGCCGTGGACAGGGTATGATCTAGACTGCACAATGGGCAGTGATGTCAGCATCCCTCGGAGAATAGGGCTTTAAAACTAGGTCGAGGTGACGTGCCACTATACTCCACCCTGATTAGAACACATCTGGAATGTAGTGTTCTGTTGTGGGGGGAGGGGGAAGGGCACATTTCAGGAAGGACATTGATAAGCCAGGCAGCATTTATAAGAGCATGACAAGGAGGATAAAGAGCTTTGAGATCATGCCATCCAAAGATCTGTTCAAAGGACTTGGGATGGGATGTTTAGCCTGGCAAAGAGAAGACTCAGGGGACATGCCAGTTGCCTCCAGGCATTTGAAGCGAGGAGGGAAGATGCCAAAGAGCAAAAGGAAAAACTTCCTCCCATGAAAACTGTCCCCAAGTGGAATGGGCTGCCCTGGGGAATTAGGAGTTGCCCCTCCCCAGAGGGCCCCAAGCACAAGCCTGACGCCCACATGGGGATGTTGTGCCAGGGATACCTGTTGAGGTATGGGTTGGACTCACCAGCCCCTGTGAACCCTTCATGCTTGGAACTTCTGTGACCATTACAGCCTTCCTGCAAAGAGCCAAAGATCCTTTTTTAATCCAGTAGGCCTATAGTTCCATCGTGATCAGTCTTTAGAGGTGGAAGGAACCTTAGAAATCAGGCTGTATGCTATGTGGGAATTAGTAAAAGACAGCATGATATAGCTAAATGAATGCAGGACTTGTAATCAGAAGCCCTGGGCTTGAATCCTGGCTCTGCCATCAATTAATCATGTGACCTTTGAAGCAAGCTTCTAAGGCTCAGTTTTCTCATCTTTAAAATGGGGCTGATGCTGTGGTTGCCCTAATTCTCTGAAACTTCCCAAGTTCTTCAGATCCTTGTAGGTGAGTACCAGTTTCTGCGCTAAGCTGCTTTCACTCCCTCCCTTTCTCTGGCCATCAGGGTACCGCATCCGCTTAGGCTCAAGCACTGACAAGAAGGACACTGGCCGCCTCCATGTGGATTTTGCCCAGGCCCGGGATGATTTGTATGAATGGGAGTGCAAGCAGCGCATGCTGGCCCGGGAGGAGCGCCACCGCCGCCGCATGGAAGAAGAGCGCTTCCGTCCTCCATCTCCTCCTCCTGTTGTTCATTATTCAGACCATGAATGCAGCATCGTGGCCGAGAAGCTGAAAGGTAAAGGCTTTTCTTACATGTGGGCATCTGTCTCCCTTTTTAGTGAAGAACTTGACCTTGAAGATAACCAATTTGCCCCATCAAAATCATGTCACTCCTTGGCTCATACATGTGCAGTGGCTCCCTAGTTCTTCCTGAGTTCCATTCGGGCTCCTCTGCCTGGCATTCAAGGCTCTCTACAACCTGGCACCAGCCTGCCTTTCCATTTTAGTCTCTACTACATCCTGTATACTCCAGTTCTGCTGAATAATACTTTGTTAGGAATGTTATGAATTAATTAAAATGAATTACTTTGTTGCTAATGGCAAAGATGATAATGATGGCCGATGTTTGAGGGCACTTTAAAGTCTTAAAGCACTTTCTTTCCCCCAAGAATACTCTGGGTCCTCTCTCATTGCTCTTTCCCTATCAGTGGGATAGCTTCCCACACCCTCTTTGCATCTTCCAGTCTTCATCCCTTATTTTACAGTAAGTTTGCCCCGTAGGGATAGCCTGGTGTCATGGGTGGAAAGTTGGCTTTGAAGCCAGAAGCCCAGGGTTTAAGCTCTGCCTCTGACACATCCTGCTGGTATGACCCTTGGCAAGTCACTTAACTCCTCAGCCTTCTAGGGAGACCTTGAGGACTAGAGATTATGAAGGAAGTGCTGACCTCTCTTGGTAAGGGGAGTCTCCTCCTTTCCTCCTCAGGAACTTCCTCAGGTCTTCCTGACTCTAGGCCCAGCTCTCCATACACTATGCCACCTAGCTGCCTACTTATCATGTGCTATTATATATATTTAGTTCTCTGTGTATGCAGGGCAATTAGGTGGTGCTGCAGTGAACAGAACACCAGGCCTGGAGTCAGGAACACTCCTCTTCCTGAGTTCAGATCCGGCCTCACACACTTACCAGCTATATGACCCTGGGCAAGTCACTTACTTCTGCCTGCCTCAGTTTCCTCATCTGTAAAATGAGCTGGAGAAGGAAATGGCAAACCACTCCAGTACCTCTGCCAAGAAAACTCCAGATGGGGTCATGAAATCTCATCTATTCTACAGCTGTATGAAATCAGAATAAATTTTTTTAATTTTCATATTTGAATGATTGCTGGAGTCTGAAATCTATGCAGGTCAAGCACGGAGCCCGGTGCCTGGAGCTTAACCAATGGGTGGTGATTGACAGGCCCTTCATCACTACTGGGTGATGGCCGTTTTCTCAGCCAGGGCAGCTCCCTAAGACCATCTGCCAAGACTCAGAGGGATTGTAATCTATGTCACAGCTTAGAGGGAGGGCAGTGCCCACACTGAGAAAGGCATTGATCCTGGGCCATATTGATGTGCATCAAGTCACAGGATTATAGGACTGAGAAGTTCCCTGAAAACCCATGTATGGTTTATACCCAAATGGAGCAACACTAGGAAAGGGGTAAAACTTCAGTGTTGGAGAAGATTTTGTCAAAAGAAAGTAGCATGGCATAATGACCAGAGAGCTGGTCTTTAAGCTTGAAAGACTCCATTCAAGGTCCCTTCTATGATTATATCATGCTGGGGCCATATGACCATGTGCAAGTCACCTGACCTCTCATTGCTCAAGGCAACTAACTCTCTTAGACTAAGCTTCCAACCTCCACTGGTAGAGAGAGTTTTCTCATCCAAGAGTTAGGTCCAGTCCCTATTCCCAGCCCTTAAAAAGAAGAAATGACCCTCCCCCTAGCAGCGCTTTGGTAAACCCCTGTGAGGAGGAAGAGGAGAATATTGCAGCCATGCTTTGAGAACCCCTGCTGAGTTGTCCCTAACACTTGTCCTAGAGGAGCCAGCCTGCTGGGGAAATGGATAGGTAGGGACCTGACCAGCTGAGATGACTCAAAAGATTATCCCTTTTCCTCAGATGATTCCAAATTTTCTGAAGCAGTGCAGATACTACTGACCTGGATCGAGCGTGGCGAGGTGAACCGGCGAAGCGCCAATAACTTCTACTCCATGATCCAGTCGGCCAACAGCCACATCCGCCGCCTGGTCAATGAGAAGGCAGCTCATGAGAAGGGGATGGAGGAGGCCAAGGAGAAGTTCAAACAAGCTCTGGCAGGGATCCTCGTCCAATGTGAGTCGTGATCTGGGGGTGGACAGGGGGGCAGCGCTCCATCACTCATCTTTTTGAGTTGGCACAGAAACAATATGTGGGTTCTGAGATCATGAGCCAACTCACTTAATTCCTTCCTGGTTGACTCATTCCATGAGTTGCGCAAGACAATTGAGTCAATTAGTTACTCAAGTTAGTTACTCAAGTAATGGAGTCAATTCCCCAAGTGTAAAAGCAAGATCATCTCGTGAATGGAGTCTCTTTGGTACATTTACCTCATCTTCTTGGGGGCACCGAGAACCATGACAGTGGTCCCTCCCTATGCCATTTGTTTGCACTTTCATCCGTATTTGAGGTCAGTTGATAACCAGCACAGGCCATGGAGGTGAGTTCCGAATTTAGTCACCAAGGGCAAGAGAAGGCATTGGCCTTTGAGGTCATTATCTTCTAATGGACTTGCAGGGACTCCTTTAGTGAGCCATACAGTGACCTCGGACAAAGTGATTGATTGAGTGGGATGCTTCTGCTTTTGACCCTGAGCTTCCTTCTCTCTGACTTCCTTTGTGGAGCATGGTAGACACCCCTGGGGGGGTGGGAAATGAGTTGTCTATTTGTACAGAGAAACATGGCTCTAAAACCAAGTCCAGCCCCAACATCTCATGTGAGGCTTGTATTAATGTATCATTTTTCAGGGATATTTGTGAGCCCATTCAATTCCTTTGATGTCTCAGCATGGCATGGAAATCCCTGCGCTCTGCTAGGCCTTACTAGACTGGAAAGACTTTGAATATAAATACAGTAACGGCCTGCATATTTGTCACTGAAGTCCTAGTCAGGCTCAGTGGGGAGGAGGCCTCAGCACCAGGCTGCCCACCCATTTTTCAACCACAACAACTCACGAGGACCATTTCCTAAAACATAACAGGGTTGCCATCTCCTTGAGTGGAAGGAGCCCTCACACTAATAAAATCAAGGCTCCTTGAAGGAGCGAAAACAGTTTTTGGACAGTTTCTGGTTGGAGATACAGGATCCAGACTTTTTAGGGAGGGACCCATTCCTCCAGAGACTCTTAGAGAGGTGACTTCACTTTGCCTGCATAGAGTCCAAATCCTGCGGCAGGTGTCATTTGGCTTAGAGTGGATTTTTTGTTGTCCATTTTTAATCTGTAACAAATATGGCTATGGACTTCAGAAGTCTCCAAGCCCACAGAGGAAGGAAGCAATAAGAGAAAGCACTTGATCAATCCATCAGTCAAACAACAAGCCTGCCATGTACCTGGCACTGGACATCCGCAGACAAAGAGAAGTTGAGGAACAGAGACATTAGATTGTCCCACCGTGGCCATTGGTTTACTTCTTGTGGCCCCATTTCCCCAGATACCCTTTAAGGAGTCCTACAGAGCATTCCCACGCTGTACTTCCAAAAGTGTCCTTCCTGACAAACCAGTTCACCATCTCGGCCAGCCTGCTGAGGGGGACCTGAGATCAAATCCATCTGTTTTGGAAGGTAGGGGCCGGTGGAAAGAGAGAGCTGGGATTTGGGCTATAATGCATTTAAAAACAGAGGAAGTACCCAACTGTACTTAGAAGGACCAATGTGGCCAATTGGCCTATGGAGGAGCTACAGCCATGAAGGAAGGAATCTCTGTCTCTCCCTCCCTCCTGTCTCTCTGTCTCTCTCCTCTCTCTCCTCCCTTCCCTCTTCTCCACTCCCTCCCCTTCTCTTCTCTTTCTTTCGTCTCATCTCATGGCTCACTACAATAAACCTTTCTACTTTAGATGAGACAAAAAGAGAAAAGAAAGCCAACAAGACAAGATGACTTTCCTAAAAGCCTTGGGTTCTATTCCTGGCTTTGCCACCTTGGGCAAGTCCCTTTTCCCATCTGGGCCTCAGTTTCTTCCCCTGAAGGAGTTTACTTCAGCTTCCCAGATGTTTGTTGGGCACTGTGATGCCATCCCAGCCCTTGAGGTTGAACTGTTAGCTCTAAGGCCTGTTCCAGCTGAAAAGCCAATGAGCCCTGACCAGACAGTCTTTCCAGCTCCCCCATTCTGGAACCACCCTTTGCTACTCCAGTGTTCCCTCCCCCTCAAGCTGTCACAAATCCCACCAACTCGGCTTTCCTTTCAAACTTTCCCACATTTTCCTTACAGTACCCCTGGTGAGGTAGGCAGTTTGAGGGCTACTCTCCCCATTTTACAAGTGAGGAAACTGAGGCTCACTGAAGGAAAGGGACTCATCTAGTGTCACACCACTTCCTTACCAGCATATATTCCACTCTACCACAGTCACTTGTCAAGTTCCCTTTCCTCCAGTTGACTATTGATGGGGCAGCCCTCCTAGCCCCCTTTTCTGAGTTTCCCTTTGCTGAGCATGACCATGGCCTAGCCCACTACAGTAGAGGATGGTAGCAGACGGGTCCAGCAAGCCATCTGCCTGATTCCCCTCTCACTCTCTCTCTCTCTCCTTTATTCCTCTCTGCTGCCCTCTCTGGATGATATTCCGGCTCCATGCGACCCGTTGGCCTCACCCCGCAGTTGAGCAGATAGTGGCCGTTTACCACTCCGCCTCCAAACAGAAAGCATGGGACCATTTCACCAAGGCCCAGCGTAAGAACATCAGTGTGTGGTGCAAACAAGCTGAGGTTGGTAACTTTTAGTCTATTTAGCTCCCACCCCAGGGACAGTCTCTTTCCTTAACAGCCTATTGATTGGGAAGTTAGCTGGGAGTTAAGTAGTAGCCTGCTGCCATATTCACAACAAGGCCCTATTGAAATGCCCTAGGATACGTGTTTCAACTTGTCCTCTTTCTCCAACCTCCCAGCACTAAAAAGGTCATAATGCACTTGGCTTGTCTCAAATTCATTCTACTGAACAGAAAACTTCGTAGTGGGAACAGGGCCAGGATCATGCTAAGTCTCCCCCTCTCTGAGCTAGTGAGGCCCATGTGATAATTAATACCCTGTGATTAATACCAGCGATAATGAATACCCTGGGCTTAATTAGATTGCGCCTCTATCATATTTACGTGATGGAGTGGAAAGATCACTTGATTTGGAGTCAGGAAATCTGGGCTCAGATCCTGTCTCTGCCATTGACAAGCTGTGTGGCCTTGGACAGATCATTTTAATTTAGGAAAGACATTGATAAGGTAGAGAGTCTCCAGAGAAGGGCAACTGGGATGATGAATGGCCTCACGTCCAGGCAATATGAGGAAGGGTTAAAGAAACGGGGGAATGTTTAGCCTCGAGGAGGAAAGACTCCACTGTCTCCAGGTGTGGAAGAGAGATTCGATTTGTTCTGTTTGGCCTCAAAGGGCAGAACCAGGAACTGGGGGCGGGGAATTGCAGAGAGGCCAATTTCAGTTTGATTTAAAGGGAAAAAATCCTACTTCCTAATACTGAGCTGTCCCAAAATGGAATGGGCCACCCTCCCTCACTGGAAGGCTTCCAGCGGAGGCTAAGGAATGTTGGCAAGGGAATTCTTTTTCAGGCATGGGTTGGACTAGATGCTGCTGAGGCCATTTCCAATTCTGAAACTCTGTAATTCTGGGATTTCTCCTGTGTAAGATGGTGTTGATATTTTCTTCAATACCTACCCCGTGGGGCAGTTTTGAAGAGAATGTTTTGTCCGTTTTAAAGTGCCATAGAGATGGGAGGTCTAATGATTTACTTATTCAAGGGCCTGGCGGTCACATGTGGACGCTGCAGATGCTGCCTAGTTACCCCAGGGCACCAAGCTGGCCAAGCTCCTTTGGGGAGGCCCTTCCACGGGGCTTACTCTGATTTCATATTAAAGATAACCTATGTCTATGCTAAAGGCAGAGTGAGATTTTCTGTATGGCCCTGGGAATATGACAGGAATGTATATGATCGAAATCAGAGCTGAAAAATGAAGATGTGGAAAGGTTTGTTTTCACCAAGAGGGCTACTGGAAAAATACATATCGACCTCAATCAATCTTATAGAAATGGATGCTAATACTTAAATAATACGTTATCTTTACCAAGTACATTCATATGTCTTGTCACCTCATGATGGAGGTGGTATGTAGGGTAGTGTTAGCCTCATTGGGCAGATGAGGAAACAGAGAAGGGAGGGAACCTGCCTAGGGTCAAACAGCTAGTAAAAGCAGAACTGACACTTGAATCCAAGCCTTCGGAACCAAAGAGCCCAATTCTTTCCACTCCACTACATCCAAATCTCTACCCTCTCTGCTATTCTGTAAAATCTCTTACTCAGAAGAATTGTACATTTAAAAAAGAAAAAGCTGAGAATTTGTGTCTAGGAGCAGCTTATAATGTTGAAAATGCTGCCTAGCCTCCTCCCCCCAAAAAATACAGCCCACTATCCTCCTTTTATTCATTCAGTTCTAAGCCCAGTTCATCGTTAATCTGTAATACCTGCTCAAGATGGATATAATGGTGGAATAACTCGATGGAGTATCTATTGAACTGTGTGACAGTCTAGACAATGGTCATTCTTTATCCACTTGTTTTGTCCTGTATAGATTGTTAGGCTAAACTCTTGAATGATTGTGCATCTAAGATCATCAGGGAGGCTCTGTAATGTTTTGAGGTTTGATGTAATCAACACAGTGCTACCTATAAACAGTAACTCACAAGAAGAGCACGGGAAATCCCTCTCCTCTTGAGACTGCACAGGACATCCTTCATGATAGCGGCCAATGCTTTGTTCAAACATACATCTCCCTATCTTGAGCCTTACTTGGTATTAATAATCAGATGTTCTTTTAACTGTATTCTTCTGGTGATACTGCTATATGGTTGCAAATCATGGAACACAATGTTCTCTGAAGAATCAGAATTGTGGGTGCCCCAAGGGGGGGGTAATAGAGACACAGTGGGTATAAGTAAGCTCCAGTGTACTGCGTAGAATAACTTATATGCAGGAAGTAACTAGAAGCCGCCAGGAAATGTATGATCAGAAAAGAAGGTGGGCCAGTCCCATAGCAACAGCAAGGGTCAGCTAGGCCAGGTACTACATGGGTACCCGTGACATGGATATTCAGCAGCCCAGAGCCTCACACTGACTCACAAATCCATGGAAGCAGAGAGACACACCTTAGTCAGACCTGAGCCTCTCAAACCACATGGGCAGCCCCTTGTAGAGTTTCACTCCAAAGCTGCTTCCCTCCCCCCGTCCTAGGGCACAATTCCACTCATGCGACTCAATTCCAATTCTTAACTTTGGGCCTCTAACATTTCTCAGGCTTGGAGAACCACATCCTAGCATTCTTTCCCCAGCTCAGCCTCTCCCCTAGCTTGAACCTACGTTCCCTGACTTATTCAGCAGGGTTTACTCAAAAGGTCACAAAGCTAGGATTTGGGAGCCAGCCCTGCCATGGTCATCTGCTGGCCATTCTCATCTCAGTGATGATGGTAGCACATTCTTCTCTAATACTTTAAGGGTTACAAAGTGCTTCCTTCATAACAACCCTCTAAGATCAGCAATGCCAGTATCCTTAGCCCCCTTTAAAGAGGAGAGTTTTGAGGCTCAGAGATGGAAAGGACGTGTCCAGGGTAACACAGCTAGTAAGTGTCTGGACAAAAACTTGGACTCAGGTCTCCTGACTCCACATCCAGCACTCTTTCTTCTACACCATGTTGCATTGTGATCCTACATAAGCCTTTCTGAGACCTCAGTTTCCCAGTCTGTAAAGTGGAGAGATTAGTCTCCACTCTTTTATGTCTTGTGCTTATTATGAAAAATCCAAGGAGACAATATGTGTGAAAGGTTTTTTTTTAAGTACATTATGCAAATCAAATGGAATATTAAGCATTTGCCTACATATTCCCAGGCTCCTCTCCCAGTAGCATAAATGAATGTCCTCCCACTCTAAAAAAGTGAATCCATTTCCTCCTGCTAGCTGCTCTAGGAGAACATTCTGGTACAAGGTTTCCTTTTAGTAGAGGTAAAGGAGGTGGCTAGTGCATTTCTAGCCCATGGAGCTCTAGTTTAAACTGCTTTGTAATTACATAAGCTGCAGCTTATGAAAAAAAAGCCTGCTATCCAGATGTGGCATAAATGTGTAATTTCCTAAGTAATTTTCAAAGGAAGAATTGCAAACTCTAAATGGTCATATGAAAATATGCTCCAAATCACTAATAGGAGAAAGGCAAATTAACCAGCTCATAGAATTTCAGCTCACACCCTACAAATTGGCAAAGATGACCAAAAACTAGAAATGGTCAGTGTTGGAGGGACTGTGGCAAGAGAGGCATTCTATTATGCTGTTGGTAGAACTGCCCATTGGTCTAGCCATTCTAGAAAATGGAATTATGCAGAGCAAGTAACTAACTGTCCATACCCTTTGACCTAGTGAACCCACTATTTGGGTATATACCTCCAATAAGTCAAAGACAGAAACAAAGATCCAATATATGCCAAAGTAGTCATAGCAGTACTCTTTGTGATAGTGAAGAACTAGAAATAGCATGTCCATCAGTTGGAAATGACTGGGCGAAAACAAAACCTACCTGTGGTATGTGAATGTGATGGAGTTTTATTGTGCAGTGAGAAATGGCAAATATGAGGAATTCAGAGAAGCAAAGTAGGATTAATGGAGAGGAGAACAAGCAGAAGCAAAAGAAGAATCTGCATGTGAGTACAGTATTGTAGATGAAAAGATACTTAACAAGAAGTTGAACACTACATAAACAGAAAACTAGCAAAAGTCATCAAGAACAGACAATAAACCACATCTCTCTCTTCGTGTCATAGAAGTGGGGGACTAGCAGGGGAGAATGCTGCATATATTGTTAGATACAGTCCCCAAGGTACCATGGAAAGAACATGGGACTTGTGGTTAGGGGCCCTGGGTTCAGGTCCCCAGACAAGTCACTCCCCATCCCTAGGCCTTCTAATAATGCCCACTGACGATGACACTTGCCATCAGTCTATCATCATGTAGCTGTGAGAAAAGTCCTCCCATAAGCCATCAAACCCTAAGAATGAGAGTGTTTTTTATTGCTGTGAAGAGTGCCAAAGCCAACAGGCCACTCAAGTCACAACTAGGGATTCCTACAAAGCTCCAAACAACTTCTCTACAGGACACTAAGCCAGGGCTTGAGCTAGGCACTTCCCAGGACCACCCAGCTTGGTAGCATTGCCCTCCTTTGCAAAGTAACAAGGCTAAAAGATCATGACCAACTTGACCAGAGGGGAAAAACTTGTTTCTGCAGGCCTTTAGGGGGCATCTCTTTTTGCCTCTTTAATGGGATAGTACAAGGAAGCCCCTACATGGCACTTTGTGATCAAAGGAATCAGTAAATGTCAAATTGTCTCTGCAGAACTTCAAGCCACAGGTGATGGATATCAACCCTTATCCCAGTGGGGAAAAAACTGGGGAACAGGTGGTATCAGGATCACTTGAAGTGACTGGGGTTATTTAGCCTGGAGAAGGGAGAACATGAACTTTGTCCTTCTGTTATTTAGGACTATCATGTGAAAGAGGGGTTAAGACTTGTTATGCTTGGCCTTAGGAGATAGAAACCAAGAACAGAGGGTGAGTGTTGCAGAGAAACATATTTTGGCTAGTATGAAAAACCACTTGACAAAACTCCCAAAATGCAGTGGGTTACCTTGGGAAGTAGCTAGTTTCCTGTCACCAGGAGGTCTTCAGG